GGGGGGATGGGGGGCTTCCTGCTCGGCGATGACGGGCGGGAGGAGGCGGAGGAGGAGAGGTGGGCGATGGTGGCGCGGATGGTGTGGAGCTGGCGAAGGAGGTGGCGCTAAAAAAACCGACCATTTTCTTCTGAAAAGGGTCGGTTTTGCTTATTTTTTTTAGGGAGTTGATTTTGCTTAATAATTTTTTTTTTAAAATGTGTTGGTGAATTAAAGTGCATTGCACGAGACTATTAGTCCTGTACAGTTCGCTAAAAAAACCGACCATTTTCTTCTGAAAAGGGTCGGTTTTGCTTATTTTTTTTAGGGAGTTGATTTTGCTTAATAATTTTTTTTGGTGAATTAAAGTGCATTGCACGAGACTATTAGTCCTGTACAGTTCGCTAAAAAAACCGACCATTTTCTTCTGAAAAGGGTCGGTTTTGCTTATTTTTTTTAGGGAGTTGATTTTGCTTAATAATTTTTTTTTTAAAATGTGTTTTTAAAATTTTGTCCTTTGCAAAATGAATGGCTAGGTTTTCAACAGGATTAGATGACACTTATTACCGATAGGGGGTTCGAGGAGGGAAAGTGAGATGACGGGGAGGTGCAACGAGGTGGAGGGATGAACATAACTTTAAGCAGTTATGTTTGATTGGAGGAGAGGGGAGGAGAGATGCATGCTTTTGTAGTTCATTTTCTTTCTCGTGTCGTGTCCTTCCAATATGGGGGGGATTCTTCTCTATCTAACATTTTGGTTCATTTTGTGGTGTCACTTCCCTCCCCTCCTCACCTCTCACTCTATCTCCCGCTCTAAAAGTCCATTACCAAATGCAAATCTAATTTTTGTCTTTCCCTTCTCCTTACATTCCCTCCTGCCAAACCAAGCTTAGATGCCGTAAAACTTTTCTAGTTTGACACTTATATATTATGAGTTTTTTACAAGTAAATGCCATAATTTTTCTGTGCAAATAAATACCTTTTTTGTGGTAAATAAACAATACAAGTTGTTTAAAATTGATATGTTAATATCTTCAACCGTGCAAACGTAAAAAATTTCACCTGAATGTTTTTCTATGATACATGCTAATTTTAGAGCTTTTTATCTATTAATATTTGTTAATTTTGATATGAAATCTACTAGAATTCTTTTTTAAAACTTGTCTTGATTCTACTTTAAAATAGATGAAATATGTTTAATAATAAATTTAACAAATATCAACAGTTAGTAAGTTATAAAGTTAGAGTGATGCTACAGGCACACCTCCGGCCACACCACCAGCCCAGTGCAGGGGACCCCACTTGAAATTTTTTTAAAAAATTTCAAGTGGGGCCCCCTGCACTGTAGCAGGTGAGGGTTGTGACTGGTGGTGTGGCCGGAGGTGTGTCTGTAGCATTTTTTATAAAGTTAACATGTTAGTGTCGTATGGGAACATTTAAATAAAATTTTCATGTTTGAATGATTAAGGCTACTAACGTGTCAATTTCAAACTACTATACTATTTATTTACCACAACAGCAACTTACGATATATTAAGTTCTAAAATGGCGGAAATTTGTGGTTTTTAAGCGTCATTTAGCCTTTCGACAATGCATATCTTGGGAGGGTTTAGGTGTTTTCTTTATTTATTATTTATTTATTTATTGTTGATTGATTGGAAGTTGGTGGGGGTTTACTTGTTACAATTGAATTCAGAAGTAAAATGATACATGGATTAACATCTCTTTGATGCACACTTGTTCATTCTCTCTAATTGCTACTTCTGTTCATGGAGGGACTAATTTTAAAAATATGCAAAGAACTAGTAGGCCTATGAATGAGAACGACTAATTGGAGGGGCTAATTTTGAAAATATGAAAAAAGAATTGTAGGCCTATGAATGAGAAGGATTAAGTGATCCAACTAACAAATTATTTAATACAGTATTATCACAGCCCTACTTAAACAAAGCTTTTTATTTATTTATTTTAACTTTCAGACAAAAAATTCTTGTTTTTGAAGTCAAATAAGAACATCTCTAAGGAGCTGATTATTGTAATATTGAGGACTGGCATTTTATAGTTCGTTATTATTGAAAAACTAAATAAAATTGATTTTTTTTTGGAAAAATTGCTTCAAGGCCCCAAAATTGGAAATACAATGTGGCCCAGCCCCCTGTACTTTGGCCCATGTGGCTAAGCCCTTAAATATTCAAAAAACTGTAACAGAGCCCTTAAAGCAGTTCTCTCACCCGTATTTGCACCCAGCCTCCCTAAAATACCCCCGCCTTTAACTCCGTGCCTCGAAAACGAGATCCGATCGCTGGCGAAACCTCTCCGTCGCATTTAAGGCGAGATGATGGCCGTTTTGGGGGGAAATTTTGGCGCGCTCCCTCCGTTATATCTCCTGTTAACCCACTCGGCTTTGAAGAGAGTGTATTTATGGTGCAAAGGGCAGATCTTTGCGGTTAGGGCTTATGATCTTCAGCCCCCTACTTGTCCTAAAGTGCCCTTCATAACTCCTCTTAAATCCCCTTCATTTATGGTGGAGAGCCCCCTTATTTGCATGGTTTCCTCGGGTGAGAGAGCAGTGTTCTCAAGGGTAACTTGTGCAACCTCTTTTTTGAGTTTAAGTTCGACGTGGCTGAGAGGTTGAAGGTTCCTTATGATGCGCTATCAATGGTTTATAAATCTGAAAGGATCCCCGATCTGAGTTTTGAGATCGAGAATGAGGATGATATGGAGTGTATGGTGGAGCACAACCGTAATATCGGGTGTCTGGAGATCCATATTCGAGCTAATATAGATGTAGATGTTTCCAGATGTGAGAACACCCCGAAGCAACCTCCTGAAATGTAAGTTATATTTACACTTAATTTATTTGAAAACTTATGAATTGCGTGAGTAAAATGTGGAGAAATGATAACATAGCGAATTGTTTCAGGTTAAATGTTAGCTTTTAACTGATATATGTTAACTTTCTACCGAAGGTTGTTAAACTTTAGGGCATATGTGTTAACTCTTAAGGGTACTGCATTATTTAAGTACAATTCCTATTCGTTATTTTAAGAAAAACCAATTATATTTGTGCAGCATTATGAATACACTGAAGCCAAAGTTTATTGATAGTACTTCTGCTGCAAACCATGGTTCTGAAAGAATTCCAATTGATAATCCCAGTGGTAGCAGTGTAGTGCGTTCTGATGACATTATTAACAACACAGTAATGATTCCTGGTTGGTGGCATAATGCATTAACTGAAGAGGGTCAAGAATTTGAAAGTGCTGAAGAATTAAGGTTGGCGCTGACATACTATTCTCTGGCCAAAATGTTTGATTATGAGTTTAAAAAGAACGAACCAAAACGTATCCGTGTATATTGCCGATATAAAGAAACTTACGAGTGCCCATGGATGTTGTTTGCTTCACCTGTTAAGAATGAAAATAGGCTATCGATCAAGAAGTTTGTTAATGAACATACTTGTGGGCAGTACGGGCAAAATACAGGTCGTCCAAGGGCATCCCGTAAATTCATTGCAACACAGTTACAACCACTCCTGAAGGTCCGTACAGAAATCCGACCTGTTGATGTGCAAAAGGAGTTCCTCACAAACTACGGCCTTAGAATTGATTACAGTAAGATTTGGTGGGGGAAAGAGAGAGCACAGTAGAAGCTTTACGGGGATATATATGAGTCGTATGATCAACTACGATGGTAAATACTGAGCTTTATTATTATCTTGTTAAGTTTCAAAGTTTGCTTGTTAAAACAAATAGTTAACATGTTCCTTGTTAAGTTCATTGATAACATTGATAACATGTTAAGTTTCACCACTAACATGTTAACTTTCTCTGTTACATTGTTAAGTTACGCTGATAATTTGTTAACTTTTGTTAAGTTACCCCAATAATGTGTTAGCTTTTTTTGGTCGCTTGTTAAGCTACACGGATAACATGTTAACTTGTTGGTTTGTTTCTTCTTACACGACTAGGTATGAGCGCATGGTAAAAGAGACAAATCCCGGCAGTTACATACATGTTGACCAGAATGAGGGGAGGTTTTCGAGACTCTTTGTTTGTTATGCTGCATGCATCAAAGGTTTCTTGAGTGGATGCAGACCCCTTCTATTTTTGGACGGTACATTTTTGAAGGATCGATATAAAGGTATTCTCCTCTCGGCCATAGCATACGATGGGAACCAAGGTATATTTCCCTTAGCGTATTGCATATGTGATCAAGAGAATTTGATGAATTGGAAGTGGTTCCTCCAAGGTCTATGGTCCATACTTTATGAGAGGACTGACCCTTACAATCCTCCCCATCAATTGGTTATAATTTCTGATGCGGACAAAGGAATTAAAGAATCAGTAAAAGAGTATTTTCCAGAAGCTCTACACTCGAGGTGTGTTCTACATCTTGTTGAAAATTTCAGGTTAAAGCTTAAGGACTTGGGTATGAAGTCGAAGGACACTCATGTTCTGGGGAACTTACTCCAAAGTGCTTGTTATAAATACACAATAGCAAAATGGAATGAGTACATGAAAGAGATATATGACATGGATCCAAGGGCATACAACATTGCTATGAACTACTCTCCTGATCAATGGACAAATGCATTCTTCCTGGGAATAAGGTAACGTTATTTGGCTGTTCTATATCTATGCTAATGTATGAACTTATGCTATTTAGCATGTTATATTTGAATTTGTTAAATTCTATATCAGAGCTGTTAACTATATCAGAGTGGATAACATGTTAAGTCTTGTTGATAATATGTTAAGTCTCGTGGCTAACATGTTAACTCTTGTGGATAACATGTTAACTCTTGTTGATAACATGTTAACTCTTGTTGATAACATGTTAACTCTTGTTGATAACATGTTAACTCTTGTGGATAACATGTTAACTCTTGTTGATAACATGTTAACTGTTAAATGTTAACTATTATATGTAAACATGTTAACTGTAATTCAAAAAAAAATAAACTCTATTCAATTATTTGTGTCATCCCTTATTTATAACCTGTTAACTCTTATCTGTAAACTGTTAACTGTAATTCATATTATGTTAACCCTATTCAATTATTTGTTAACCCTTATTTGTGACCTGTTATAAAGTTATATATAATTTCAGGTATGGGCACGTAACATCTAATGTCGCTGAGTCTTTTAATAATTAGATAAGGAAAGCTAGAATGCTACGGATTCTACAAATGGTTGAGCATATTCGTAAACAGATAATGGTCCGAATGAGTAATCGCCGGTTACTTGCAGATAAATGGGTTGGATATCTCTGTCCAAAAGCAGAGATGGTGCTTAAAGAAAATATAGAGAAAGGTCGTCCATTGGATGTTAAGTAAGCTGCAGGTGACATATTTGAAGTGCAAGCACATAAAACTACCCGTGTTGATTTGGAGAAGAAGACATGCACTTGTCGTGCTTGGGATGTCATGCGGATTCCGTGTAAACATGCATGTGCAGTCATCTCGTACATGAAGAGAGACATTTATCAATATTGCGATTGGTTTATGTCCATAGAAGCATTTAAAAAGAGCTATGACCCGATTCTCTTTTCTATACCAGATTATGAGAAACGAAGCGTGCCAAGGGATGAGATCGAGCTACTTCCATCACATACTATCAAGCGTGCCAAGGGATGAGATCGAGCTACTTCCATCACATACTATCAAAAGAAAGGGGAGAAATAAAACACGACGTATCAACAACCAAACAGTGTACAAACGACCTTTGAAATGCTCTCGATGCCACACCGAAGGCCATAACCGCGCATCTTGCAATGAACCGATCGCCGATTGATATGAGTTGCGGATTTGCCGAAACACTTTTGGGTGTATGTAATACTTTTGTAGTTAACTGTTTATATGAACTGAAACATATTTGGGTGTTTGTAATACTTTTGTAGTTAACTGTATGTTTGGGTGTTTGTAATACTTTTGTAGTTAACTGTTTATATGAACTGAAATATATCTATGCCAATGTGAATTATAATGAAAATGTTATCTTACTTGGGTCTGTAAAGTTACTCAGTTAGATTGTTAAGTTACAGTTAACATATAAAATTTTCTTGACAGGTTATTAAGCTAAACTTATTACATGTTAACTCTTGTAAATAACATGATGGATAACATGTTAACTCTTGTTGTAAACATGTTAACTCTTAACGCTAATATGTTAACTCTTGTGGCAAACATGTTAACTCTTGCTGCAAACATGTTAACTCTTGTTGAAAACATGTTAACTCTTGTGGCAAACATGTTAACTCTTGTATCAAACATGTTAATTTTTATTACAAACATGTTAATTTTTGTCGCTAACATGTTAAACTCTTGCTGATAACATGTTAACTTTTGTAGGAAATATGTTAATTTTCTTTGATAACTGTTAACTCTTTGTCATAACATGTTAACTCTCGTAAGTAACATGTTAACTATTGTGGAAAACAAGTAAACATATAAAATAAACTCTATGCCAATGTGAATTATAATGAAAATGTTAACTTATTTGGTCTGTAAAATTACTCAGTTAAATTGTTAAGTTACAGTTAACATATAAAGTATTTTTGGAAGGTTATTAAGCTATACCTATTAAATGTTATCTCTTGTAAATAACATGTTGGGTAACACGTTAACTCTTATAGCTAATATGTTAACTCTTATAGCAAACATGTTAACTTTTTTGGCAAACATGTTAACTCTTGTGAAAAACATGTTAACTCTTGTTGCAAACATGTTAATTCTTGTGGCAAACATGTTAACTTTTGTTGCAACCATGTTAACTTTTGTAACTAACATGTTAACTCTTGTGGATAACATGTTAACTTTTGTTGGAAATATGTTAACTTTCTTAGATAACATGTTAACTATTGTGGATAATATGTTAACTTTTGTCAGACATATGTTAACTTTCTTTGATAAAATGTTAACTATTTGATCAAACGTGTTAACTCTCGTTAGTAACATGTTAACTATTGTTAATAAAAAATAAACTCTTGGCGATAACATGTTAACCCTTGTTGATACATGTTAACTCTTGATGATAAAATATAAAATCTTGTTGTCATCATGTTGACTCTTGTGGTTATCGGTGTATATGAACTGAAATATGTTTGGGTGTTTGTAATATTTTTATAGTTAACTGTGTACATGAACTGAAATATATCTATGCCAATGTGAATTATAATGAAAATGTTAACTGACTTGGTCTGTAAAGTTACTCAGTTAAATTGTTAAGTTACAGTTAACATATAAAATATTTTTGGAAGGTTATTAAGCTATACCTATTAAATGTTAACTATTGTAAATAACATGTTGGGTAACACGTTAACTCTTATAGCTAATATGTTAACTCTTGTAGTAAACATGTTAACTCTTTTGGCAAACATGTTAACTCTTATAGTAAACATGTTACCTCTTGTAAAAAACATGTTAACTTTTATCGCTAACATGTTAACTTTTGTTGATAACATGTTAATTTTTGTAGAAAATATGTTAACTTTTTTTGATAACTGTTAACTCTTTGCCATAACATGTTAACTCTCGTAAGTAACATGTTAACTATTGTGGAAAACAAGTAAACATATAAAGTAAACTCTATGCCAATGTGAATTATAATGAAAATGTTAACTTATTTGGTCTGTAAAGTTACTCAGTTAAATTGTTTCTATGCCAATGTGAATTATAATGAAAATGTTAACTTATTTGGTCTGTAAAGTTACTCAGTTAAATTGTTAAGTTACAGTTAACATATAAAGTATTTTTGGAAGGTTATTAAGCTATACCTATTAAATGTTAACTATTGTAAATAACATGTTGGGTAACACGTTAACTCTTATAGCTAATATGTTAACTCTTGTAGTAAACATGTTAACTCTTTTGGCAAACATGTTAACTCTTATAGTAAACATGTTACCTCTTGTAAAAAACATGTTAACTTTTATCGCTAACATGTTAACTTTTGTTGATAACATGTTAATTTTTGTAGAAAATATGTTAACTTTTTTTGATAACTGTTAACTCTTTGCCATAACATGTTAACTCTCGTAAGTAACATGTTAACTATTGTGGAAAACAAGTAAACATATAAAGTAAACTCTATGCCAATGTGAATTATAATGAAAATGTTAACTTATTTGGTCTGTAAAGTTACTCAGTTAAATTGTTAAGTTACAGTTAACATATAAAGTATTTTTGGAATGTTATTAAGCTATACCTATTAAATGTTAACTCTTATAAATAACATATTGGGTAACATGTTAACTCTTTTTGCAATCATGTTAACTCTTATTGCTAATATGTTAACTCTTGTCTAAAACATGTTAATTTTTACCGCAAACATGTTAACTCTTATGGCATACATGTTAACTCTTGTGGCATACATGTTAACTCTTGTAGCAAACATGTTAACTCTTGTCGCAGACGTTAACTCTTGTTTCAAACAAGTTAACTTTATTCGCTAACATGTTAATCCTTACTGATAACATGTTAACCCTTGTAAAAAACATGTTAACTCTTGATGATAACATGTTAACTTTATCCGTATACGGTATTATTTAATAAGTGAACCTGACATGTTATAAACTTTCTTCATATTTAACAAGTGAAGCTGACATGATGTAATTGTTAACTTACGCATCTAACATGTTAACTTTCTCCGGGCACTAGTTCATTAGCTGTTAATACACCATACAAGCTGAAAATTATGAATTCCTATTTCTGAATTCCCAGCCTTCTTTTATTAGTTCCGCAGCAAGCCTTGCACGCACTACCGCAGACGAATCATCGGCGGGCGTAACATGCAGAACATCACTTTGTTGTAGGATAGTCCGTACATAAAGGTATACGTATATCCCACAATCGTAGCTACAAATAATAAAACATAAATACATATTACAGGTCAGTTTTGAAGACGAAAATTCTTTAATAAAATAAGGTTCATATGTTAATGTACCTTCCCTTTTGAGACTCGCATGGGATTTCCTTATATTTAAATGCCCTACACACCTTTTCAAGATCGAATGCGGCCTTCATATGGTCCATGAAGTTTATAATTTTGTTAACGGGCTCAAGGTAAGCAGAGGGAGTTACCGAACTATAGTGCAACGCTAAATTTTCATTCAATCTAACTTCGACACAATGCCAATGGTCATGACGAACAATTGGCAATATGAGTATTGATCGGCCATCGGCAATATGTTGTATATAAAGTTCATATAGTTCATATAGCCGCAGATGAGCCTGGTCTCCATAGAGTGAATGCTGTTACACAAAATTAACACATTAAGAAAGAGCGGCCTTTAATATGTGAACATGGTTCAAGTTCATATAGTTAACTTTTTTGGAAAACATGTTAACTCTTGTGGAGAACATGTTAACTTTTGTGAAAAACATGTTAACTCTTGTGGAGAACATGTTAATTCTTGCTGAAAACATGTTAACTCTTGTGGAGAACATGTTAACTTTTGTGGAAACATGTTAATTTTTGTTGAAAACATGTTAACTCTTGTTGTTAATATGTTAACTCTTTGTAGTTAACATGTGAACTCTTGTGGCTATATGTTAACTCTTATAGATAACATGTTAACTTTTGTTGAAAAAATGTTAACTTTTGTGGATAACATGTTAACTATTCTGGTTAACATGTTAAATATAAGAGCTTATCTGTTAACTAATTATATGAGGATTGGCCTTACGCAGAAATATGTAGATACAATCTCGTACTGCTTGTTTAATTCAGCGTTCTCTGGTAACTGCAGCCATAGCCGTAATCTATCTAAGAATACCTCTGTTACTTTGTCATCGAGTCTTCCCCCGCGGATCATGTACAGTAGTTCGGGGTATGTAATTGCGCTGTTATCAGTAGTTATGACATATACGTACCTTGACAAGCAATAAGTTATGGAGGGTTAAAATTTAAAACATGAAAGCTAACATCTAAACACACAAACATAACAAGCAAAAAACAGAGTTTCACAGTTAATATTAAAGAGTTAGCATTAAATTACTTAACATGTTAACTGTCGTAGATAACATGTTAACTGTCGTGGATAACATGTAAATACTTGTTGCTAACGTGTTAACTCTTGATGATAATATGTTAACTCTCGCGGCTAACCTGTTAACTCTTGTGTATAACATGTTAACTCTTGTCGCTAACCTGTTAAGTCTAGTGGATAACATGTTAACTATTGTTGCTAACATGTTAACTCTTGTTGTTAACATGTTAACACTCGTGGTTAACATGTTAACCCTTGTTGCTTAAATTTAAACGTGAAAGCTTTACATTTTGAAATCAGCATTTACGGGCTACATTTCTCCTTGCAGTACTGCTCGAGCCATTTGTT